ATGTGAAAAGAAGGGCACAACAAAAAATGGCGCAAAGAGAAAAGAAAACGGTAACTAAGCAAGTGCGAAAAAGGGCAATGAGAGGGCCAGTTAGAGGCGTATATGTGTGGACCACAAAGTGAGCAAACACTTGAGCCCGGCGCTTAGGTGGTCTGAGGACCAAGTAAGTGTCTGTCTTCTTTTCTGCGTCTGTCTCTGCGTGTTGGGGGAAATCGAAAGCACCGTTAAGTGTGCCAAGCAAGACACAAAGCACAGACATAACCGTTAAGTGAGGCGTAACATGCGAGTGGGTCAGGAAAATTAGGCAATGGCACTACGAGTAAGTTGGCTTGCCCTGAAGTGTACTTTGATGTGATTAAACTAATTGATTTCGGCCTTAGGAATCATATTGTGGGTCAACAGCAATGAGAGGTGATGTCGCTGAAAAATAATACCGATATAATCATTTGAGTTTCAATTACTTTATGGGCAGAGGGAAATAGGGGTTAAAAGGATCTGCAACCTATGAGCAACATAAGTGGAACAATAATATTACTTACTAGTAATTCCAAAAGTATTGGCGAAGAAACAAATATTTTATTTAAAGCTGCTTTAGCTTGATTAAAATTGCATTAGGAACCTAATACGTTCTTCAAATCTATAACTTTTGAGCATTAAATGTCTTCAAATTATCAAATTGATTGTTTGCTTATACCCTGCAATCGATGGATGGAAAGGTGTAAGCATCAGAAAGTTATTAGAGAGTTCAAGCTCAGGAAATGACGATAAATGTGGACAGGATGTAGATAAGTTTGTGTGTTGAAGGACCCAGTGTGTGCTACCGCGTAAAGTTCATTTTAGTTGCTTAAAAGTTGAAAAATACAAAATTGTTACATTTTGTTAAAAATGATCGAATAAAAATGCACATTAATTTAAATTATATTTTGATAGAGTCTGCATTTTGGGAAATTATTGTAGCTCACTGCGATCATAGAAATATTTTTCTTCGCCAATCAATTGCTTCATTACCCATTTCTCCGAGTCCACAATTGGATATAAGGTTCGGCACAGGATGTTTGAGAGTGCTTATTTTCATAACCATAATCCCATAAATAAACTAAGTTCGTCGAGCACTTATGACGTATAAAATTCGTATGGCTGCCGAATTATGTAGCTGTTCCCAATTCCCTGACAACAAGTTCATTAAAGAGCCCCCGGCAACCCAACTCAAATACGAAACATATATTTGAAAATTCGTTTTTTAATAATAAACTAAATAATTTGGGATTGGTGAGCAGTAACGTTCAAAGAGTAAGACGTTTCTTAATTCATGCTTTTTTCTATCGTTACTAAACATGTATATTTGATTTTCCGATTAACCTGCAACTTCAAACAAAGAAGAGGAGATGATCGCACCTTATTGATTTTTCCAACAGGCAACTCTAGTATTTATTTTTTAATAACCCCGTCAATTGTTTTAAGTTAATTGTATTTGTTTTAAACACATTAAAGCAAGTTTTAGTAAAACTATTATAGAAAAGAACAAAATATCAATTCTTCTAAGCATTTTGTAAACTTAAACAACGTGAATATAAAGTTGATAAGTTTGAAAATAAAAACGCAGTCTACATAGCTATTGTTGCTTCCCAACAAAACCTCAGTGATCATATTTCCCAAGGACAGCAAAATGTTGTTGGGCACTCTTTTCGAGAACCTTTGGAAATCTTCATTAATTAGTGAAAGCGCAATTAGCATACAACGTCTAACAAACACTGAATTTATTATACTCGCAGCAAGAGCAACAGCGGGAACAACAACAATGCCAACACCTCAAAAGTTGAGCGACAAAAACTTTTCAGTTTGATAAATTGAAAATTGAGTTGGCTATAGCTGTGTTTGTTGTTTTTCTTGTTTTTGTTGTAGTTGTAGTTGTTGCTGTTGCCGGTTCCACGGCGGCACGGTAGCTGTTCCCAGCGTAGCACTTGAAACTGTCACTCGTTCGTTAGTTTGCTTTGGCACTTGGCCTGATGATCGTCTGCCACACTTCAAAGTTCGCGTCTTGCATCAACGTGGGCGCTGAAAACTTTTTGAGTAATGAAAACGCGCAAAACTTGAGTGGGCGGGCGGGCAGCGGCCGAGCCTTCTTCTCAATAGTCGATGATGGGCAGGGAGGTGTGTGCGTTGCATTCAAATTAAATTGGGATTCCATGAATATTGATTGATTGGTTTTACCTTGAAGACAAATTAGAGCACACACAACCGAGTTGGAACGAATTGTGTCAAGTTGTCTGCAATGTGGTGGGCAGAGGCGTTGAGTGGCAGTGTGCAGAGCACAACAACAACAATAATTGATGTGCAGTTAACTGACATGGATATAGGAAGCAGGGCCATTTGTATTTTCATATGTGTGTGTGTATATTAGTGTGTGTGTGTGCCACATCAACAACACGCAGTCATACGTCATATAAAACTAATTAATTGTCGTCATTAAGACAAGTCTGGTTAGCAGCCAAGTTTAACAAATGATTGCATTTAACTATTTAAAGCTCGAAAGTGTAAAAAGAAAGCTCCGTTTGTGTAAATTCTAAATGCTCGAGATTTTCGTACCTATTGTTCTCTCGACTGCTGCTACATTATTTAATTTTAATTTAATTTAATTTTACTTTGAATTAAAGAACGAAATCACATACGTACTCACATATATATTTGCTCGACCCTACCTTGTTTTGACATTAAGAAAACCCATAATGTTATGGGTCATAAAATTATAAAATATAAAATTAATATTAATATATATATATATATATATATATATGTATATATATATATATATAATATTGCCTTCAAAATTGCTTATTTTATATGAAATCCCTAACACTTGGCCGGCTCTTCACCTTTTTAATGCAAACCTGTAGTTATCTTTTCGTGCTCAAAAGAATTCTGAACAAACTGAGAAAAGAAAGATAGCTGTAATATGATAAGTTATTTGAGATTATTTACATTCTGAAAGAATATACTCTTTCAGGTACTTTTTTTTTAGAAATTTGGAAGAGCCTTAGCAGCAACATTTGCTGGATCTTATCTGTTTTCATATATTTTCCATGAGATTATTGTATTTATTTTGTGAAAGTGCCAGTAACGATTTCTTCTTTTTGCGCTTTATACGCAAACTTAAAGCATGCATGCAACTACAATCGATGTATGGGAAGCTTTTAAAGCATTATGCAATAAGAGAAGGGCCATGCACAATGCAAACTGCAAACCGGAAATGAGTAAACAAGCGTCAAATAGTAAAGAACACAATACAACTTTCGGTAGCAGAGAGGACGCCCACAGCTTGCCCCGTTCCCGGGCAGCACGAAAATATAAATAAATGAAACATTAAACAAAACTGTAGTCGGGAATACCAAGCAGAAGCACAAGCACAAGCAGAAACAGTAGTTAAAGAAGTAGGAGAAGTAGAAGTAGAAGATGAAGCGAGCGACGACTATGGCGCGTGCATAAGGACGCACTGAGTTGGCGAAAAATGAGCGCGAACGCTGAAGACAACAACCGGATATCCGGCAACTTTATAAGCAGTAGCGCCACAAAGGACAACAGTCGCCGCCGACACCAACAACAACAACAACAACAACAGAGACAACGACAACGATGACAACAACGAGTAAGAACGAAATGAACGAGGACACCAACGACAACGTAGTTTATTTTAACTTTTGATTTCCTCGCATTTTTTTGCCCTTTTCTGTCCCACTGTCTTGTTTTTTGTTGCAACTGTTGTCTTCTTGCTGTTGTTGTTATTATTGTTGTTATTGTTGTTGCACTCGCATTTGAAATGCAACGTTTCGAGTGCAGCAAAAAAGTTGTGCCCGAGCATTGAGCAGCTCCAAGATGACGACAAGTGCAGCAAACGCATTAAAAATGTATTAAACCTGCAACTGGGCGTTGCAACGAGTCCTCGTATTGTCCTTGTTGCTGCTCTCTGGATTCGGGAGTCGGGTTGAGCAACGGCAAGGTGCCGCTATTTGCAAAGGAAGTCACGACTTCAGCTTGAAGAGCACACGCACATTCCTACAGACATACCTACAGACATACCTACAGACACACGTCTTCACGGTAAGTTTCGCAAAATATATATTCATTTTTCCATAATACTATTAAATTAAACATTATATTCAGTTGAAATTCAAATGCTTTTATTTAACTAAATAAGTTAAGCAACATGCACGTAATAATATAAGCAATATACTCACAAAATTAATGCCAAATGGTTTTACTTTACCTGAAATTGTATCTACCATTAAATGACCGTAGTTTTCCCTTTCATACATACATATGTATATGAGTATTTTAATATGTATACATTCTTCATATTAACATATCGACTGTAAGAAAAACTTCTAAATGGTTAAAAAACAACTCGAAAGCCTTTGCCGTTGCAATTCTGTGGCTCAAACAAGTGTTCAAAACTGATCCGAAACTAATGGAAAATACACATAAAGATACAAAAAATAGACAACAATTTCTCAAAGTGAAAAATTGCTTAAAATAAAGCTTCGAAATTTCTGCATTATATACATTTTTGTTCTGGAGCGCTTAAAAGATGTAGTTTTTTTGTTGAAGTATCTAACATTTTCTAGCTCTTCACTAAAGCTTGAGCTTGAGCAGCACATGGTTCTTCAAAGTTGTGCAATATTTTTCAGATATATGTCGAAGGAGCTACAGAAGTATTAGGACGCTTATGGATGGAGAGTTTCTGGACAAATGCTTTCGAATATAAGACCAAATTTGTGAGACATATTAAACTGAAATGCAATCAATGAAAAGAAAAGTCTTTAAAGTCAGGCAAGTCTAACTCTAGTTTTTGTGGCTTATTTGAGGACGAACTAAGCATTTGATGTATGAAAAATGATCACTTGCACTTGAAATTTAAATCAAAACCACATATATTTCACTATAGCTGTCAAGCTGACAAAGGAAATACAAATATTTACATGAATATTGCCAGACAACTTTACAAAATGATACATCCAGTTCACCCGAAAGTAATTTTTTCGCCATACCGCGCTTACTATCCCGGACACAACAGCTTAAATAAACCAGCCTCCGATCCGTATAGTGTGTACGATTTTAGTGAAGACTTTCACGAGTACCCGGAGGAAGAAGACCAATGCGTGACTCAAGTAGCGCGCCCTTTGTCACGGTAAGAAAAACAAAAAGAACAAAGTCTTTTTTTGTTGACATTTTTAAGCTCAAGACATTCTTTAATTTCGTGTTGAATCGTTCAATGTCCACTATCTTCAGCATTGAACTCTTGATTCTGGACTATAAGCAATTCAAGGCGGCACGAACTATTCAACGATATGTTCGAGGATTCCTGGTGCGTCAACTTATTTTGCGACGCGAATGGGCTGCGATCACAATACAGAAATGGTGGCGTCGGTTCGCCAAGCAGCGATATTTCTTCGAATTGTGCCAGACTATATTGCAAGAGAGATTGCTGCGACATTATAATGAGAATGCCATTAAGATTCAGGCGCTATTTAGAGGTTGGTGGGTACGGAAACATGTCACCGACATGAACCTCCTGAAGAGAGTGCAGACAAACAGTTTAGAGGATCTTCTGCTATGCCTATGCTTTAAGATGCACACGATTAATCGGGAAGGGAAATTGCCAGGCGTATATAGCCTGAGAAATTCAAAGTAAGTATTCCATGGTTTTCAAAGTTTTCCATGGTAGTTTTATTTGAAAGTTTTAGACTGTTGGAAGAAAGATTAAAGTATAAAAAAACACGTTTTGAAATTATGAGAAAATATATGAAATATTTAGTATATAAGAACTTTATTTCCCAAAGATAAAAAGCTATGTGGAAAGAATGCAGATGAAAAAAATGTAAAATAAGGGGGATATATTTAGTATATAAGAACTTTGAAAAAGGTTGCCTAAGAGAAACAGCTATGTGGAAAGAATGCAGATCAACAAATTTTAAAATAAAATATATATGATAGACACTTGTCAATTATTTATTGCATTTTTATTGAAAGCTGTTTGTTTTACACACCATTTGAAATACATTTTTTGTCTACTTTAAAGGTGCCTGGAGGAAGTGGAGCAATTCATAACCACGATGTCGTATCGTTTTTATAACAACAATGTGAGAACTCATGGTCAGGAACGGCTGGCACGTTTGAATACGATGCGTATTAAGTTCATGAAGGCGACTCAGTACACCACGGTGCCCTACCCAGGTCATAATATATTTGGACTATGCCAGCAGCAGGACGACGATGAAATGGCGTGCACTCAGAAAGAAGGGGATCCGCGCCTAGCCGATGTCAATCGAATATTCACCAATGGTCGTCGGCCTATTGTGCACACAAATATTCTGAAAAAACGCGGAACTTGTAAGTGACTAATGCTTCTCTAGTCGTTTGCTAATTAAATAATTTAATTACAGTTGAAAGGGAGTTGTTCATGACGATGCGCAGGCAAAATAGGAAGCAGTTTTGCAAACATGTCATAAATAGTATGCGGAAATGGCGATTGGAAAATGGTGAGAAGCTGATTCTGCCGAAGAACATATTTGACGATCCTAACAAGCTGGAGGAGTTTCTCATAAACGTTGCAGAAGAAGTGAGGGAAAATGAAGTCAGTTGTTATTGCCAGCTGGATTGAAGCTGCTGTTTTCTTAAATTAGCACTTTATTAATTGGTATATTTTTTTATATAAAACACAAAAATATGGTGAAGTCAACTAATTGAAACTTTGTTAATACAAATACGACAATTATAGTAGGTTTCCAAAATAAGTGAATAACAAAATATAATAAAATGCTCAGTAACCCCAAAATATACAGATTTTAATATTAGCTTAAGAATTTTTAAGGTTGTTTTACAGCAGGAATTTTTATCTTAATGCCCAGCTGAAGGTAACAAACATTGTCAATCAATTAGATTTAAACAAAAAAATTGGCTTTTTGCCATTATTCCGTTTAGACTGCTTCTTCCTTTTTTAAGATATACCAACGCATGTTGCAAATAAAGTAGGGCGGAGGTTAAATAAATTAAATAAAACAAAATATATAAAAAACTCTTAAATTCGTATTAATTGCGGCATGCGGGAAAGAAAGATCGCAATCATTCATTATTATGACGGACTATTTCGCCTTAAAAAAAAGCTGAGTTGGATTTCTTGAAGTGCTTCTGTTAATCATTTACATAAATTATTATTTTAATCAAAATTGCAATTTTTGGTCGCCTTAAGTATGTGCCAAGGTGAAGTTTTTCAAAATAATCAATAAAATTACGATTTAAATAGAATAAGCAGAATACAGTTTGCGCTAAAGAAAGCTCTTCAGTTATATTTAAGTCCTATTATTATTGTTAATAATTGTTGATGCATAAATGTTGTACATTTACAAGTAAATACTTTTTCCAATCAATTTTCGTATGGCTCTGATATTTGCTGAAGCTGTGCAGCTTAGAAAAATGCTAAGCCCGAACATAATCAATTTCTCACGAATTTCGGTGGCTGGCCTAGAGTTCGGGATGGTCAAACAATAGCAGCACATGCACGCTCACATAAATAAGTTCAATATTGGCAACAAATTAAATTTAATGATGTTTGTTGCTTCGAGCAACATAAAGTAGCCCAGCCAAGTCAAGCAAGCCAAGCCCAGTCAAGGCAAGAAAGTACAAATTGCTAGCGATGGTAAATATTTGCTAACTGACGCTAATGAACTTGAGCATACAAGCACAGACGACTGGCGGAATAGAGGGGGAGGGGAGGATGGTCCAGGAGCATATTCCCGAAAGCTCCCCCTGCTCGTTGTCGCCAACAAGGCTGCCTTGATTAAAGAGTTTGCAGCGAGTTTTCTTTCGTACGCTCACAGATTTTTCTATGAAATTTTTCCAACTGGGGGCGAAACGAACGAAAGTCGGTTCACATACATATATACTCGTATATAGTGCACAGCAGAGCGAACATGTTTACCCAAAAAATTGTTCCTATTGATTGTGCGAGTGAGTAGTGTTTGTATCTGTGTATGTGTGTGTGCGTGCGTGTTTGTTAGTTTGTTTGTCTGTATGTCTTTGGATATTTACACACACATATGTATGTATATACAAGTATGTATGTCTGTTTCCGCACTGTGGACGCGTGTGTGTGTGCTTCATTGTAAAGTCAACAACTCTTTGTGTAGACAGTTGATTTTTTCCATGCTAGTTGTTTGTTGAATGGGTAACGTGTGGGCCACAAGCAGATATTGAAAGCACATTGAAATCTGTTGCCTTGATTAGATCAGTTGCGAAGAGGAAAAGCGCCTATGGGGACTCAATGAATGCAACAAATGATTAATTTTAGGTGTTTTTAATTCAAAACGTAAAGGAAATCATTGATGAATCCAATTCTGGAAGTTATAATCAGCACTAGCTTTAGTTTGTTGTGGCTTTCAATTTCTTTTTCTGCAAATTGTTTTTATTATTTTGTAATTAAATTTTGTCTTACAAAATTGTGCATTCATTGGTTTCTCCTTTAAGTGCGTAAATCAATGCTTCCAATGAATGCAAAAAATGATTGTTTTAGGTAATTTTAATTCAAAAGGGAAAATCTAATCAGCACTCGTGTTAGCTTGTTGTGGCTTTCAAATTTTATTTTCTGCAGATTGCTTTATTATTGTGTGATTTAATTATTTCTTACATAACTTTTAATCCACTCTTTGCACTTTCTTCAAAATATCCTCTTTTTTCTAATGCAATTAATACTTTACATTATTATAATTTATAATAATTGGGTGTACGTTAGATTTTTACACTGAAAAACTATGCGTATTTCTAAAACAAATGGCATAACAACAATAGCAGCGATAGGTTTTCAAAGTACAATGAGTTCGAGTTAGAATATTACAGAAGTTGGATGCTAAATAGAAATGATATTAGAATTTATTAAACACAATTCTCATTTTTGATTTCTCTCGACAAATAAGTCGACCTTGTGGCCTGCCTTAAGGTAAACACATACTTTTCAAGCTCATTAAATTTAATATAATTTTAATTTTCTACATTTGTAGCTTAACTTCAACTCTGCACTGATGCGAGCACACACAATGACAAATGACAAAACATGTTAATTAAAGTCAAAGCCAAGTAGGTCAAAGCGGCTTATGGCAGATGCTAAAAAAAGGAGAGAGGGTGAGAGAACGAAACGAAAAGGAAATACAAGCTGGCGCTAAAAATAAATCCCAGTCACACAAAAATAAGGCAACAAAATTAACCCAAATATGCAAATAAATTACACTAACGTTGAAAAACAAGTCAAGCCGAGCTGCACATTAACTTCCGCAGCTCATTAAGTCGCTGTCAGAGAATGGCGCTCACTTGGGGCGCAAAGAGGGAACAGCTAGCGGAAAATATATAAAAATTTATGCGACGCCAACTGGACGCAAAAAAAAAACCAAATAGGAAAGAAAAAAAAATCGGTGACCCCGCAGACTCATTTTGGCAAAAGTTCTGTAACATTTGCCATGCGGAGACACTGTGCGAAAACAAAAATAAAACATTCGCCGCTTGTAAATTATGAGGTCGGTGTGAGCGAAATATATACGAAAATTAGCAAAATAAAAAAAAAAAACAATAACAACAACACCAATACAGTTGAGGGCATGGGCGAAAGCATTAAAAAATTGTTGTTGTTGATGTTGTGGTCCTGTCTGGCCAAAGGACCCAAAAAGGCTAAATGAAAATGTTGGCACAACAATAACACAATTTTTAAAGTATGTTAACGCCTCGGCCGAAGTTAAATTTGGGTCTGACGCCTTGAGTTGTGGGGAGCATATACTACAGGGTTTTCAAAATACTGCTGGTTCTTAACCCCCCCCCCCCCCCAACATGGTTGAAGGTCAAGTTTAGCGGCAGTTTGCAAAAGTTTCGCACGACTAATTAGTGGGCGTTTAGCGGGCATTGCCATTTAATGAAATTTTAATACGAATTTAATTGAAAGGCGCCATAACTTGTGGCTCCTGCGGTAAACATTGAAAAAATTGCCTGAAAACAGAGTGTGGACAAAAAATTGGCCTAATTATTGGCAGTGTTTAATTAAACCAACGCGAGCGCGTACATATTAGGCGAATTATTTAAAAACAAGACAAAAGGCGGCAAAGCAGCACACTTTGAAGAATGCAAAGGTTTCTTCTGATGCCCAATTTTCGTTTAAAATTGCTTTATTTCAGTTAATTATTGCCTTGGAGTTCACGACTGCTTTTTTAGCTTCAGGAATAATACTTTTGTCTTTTTGCCATTAAAGGAATGCTACAAAGTGCACCTAAAATGTGATGAAAGAGAATGTGAAGGCATAAAAAAAATTACTTATATATCATCTCCCACCTCATAACTTATATCACACTGCCTTTAGGTAACAGTCTTAAAATTGAAATACTTTCTATCTTAAATAATGCTGATTTGTCAAAAAAAAACCTAATCTTCTATATAAGTATGTATTGCTACTATTGTTTATTTATTTACGCCGTTCAAAATTGCACAATTAAAGTCCAGCTTCTCAATTATTCATTATTTAATGTATGTGTCATCCGTTTTAATTAATATCACAAAGGATAAGTAATTCATCCATGTTTTTTCATAATTATAAAGATTCTGCTTACACTATTTAATACTTCTTTATATGTTTTCCTTATAGTTTTTACACAATGTTCTCAATATTATTGTTATTTAAATACTATGTAAGTTCTTTACATGTCCTAATAATGAATAAATAAAGCTTAGTCTGCAGATGAGTTCAGAATATAATTTTGCTAAATACTGTAGCATTTGACTTCTAACCAAAAAGGAGCTCATCTTACCCATAAATATTGTTTTCTCAATCGCTTGCAAAGCCTAAAAATTTTCATTTTCATTTAACACAGCTCATTAATTTGCGCCATAAATATTTATTGTCTTCATCCTCCAAGCAATTCAACGTTGAATGAGCAAACTAGTCTTATTAGTGTCAATGTTATTAGGCAATAGCAATGAAAACTTACTCAGAGTACTTAGATTTAATGCAGCTCAGCTCTCCTAGCACGTCGCATAAATGTGCATTATAATTGTTTGCAAATTGCGGCAAAATCGTTTTAATTCACTTGCACAACTCACAGATTCCCGTTAGTCAACACCAAACTCAACTAATTAGCCACAAAACAAATTGTTCAGCGGACGCAAATTTTAGCGCAACGAGCGAATGCCTTCTGGCCACTGCAGCGTGCTGAGCGTAAAAACAATGCCAAGCATAACAACAAAAACAACATCAACAGCAACAGCAACGAGAAGAAATTTAATTTAATTTCATTTCAACTTGTCTGCGCTCTTCCTCTTTTGTTTTCATTTACGTTTACGTTTGTTCTTATTGTTCTTGTTGTTTTAAGGCATTATCCTGCATTCGGATGCGGCTATAATTAAACACACACGCGAACGAACGACAGAATGACTGAACGCCCAAACGACTGAACGACTGAACGACTGAAGGACTGAAAGAACGACCAAACCCAACGCCCGACCGACCAAAAACTTCCTCAAGTTGAAACGTATGGGACCGGCAATGCCCAGAATTTATTAAAAATGCATGACCAGCATCACTCATACGCAACGTGTGCCGCACAGCGCATTAGCCGCTAGCCAGCGCAGTGTCCAAGTTTTTGCACAATTTTCTCGTGTTGCTTTCTAGCTGCTATAGTTATAGTTTTTGTTGTTGTCGTTGTTGTTGTTGTTGCTGCTGCTGTTCCTCTGCGACTCGTGTATGTGCAATTTTCCACAATTGGCGGCAGCTGGCGACAGTCGTGCCTGCGTGGACCCAATTCGGTACGCGTTATCAATGTAACTGCTGATTTTTCTCGTCATCGTGACGAGCATCGCCCCAAAAAGGACATTTTTCCACAGGCGCTTCGTCGTTCGCTGTTGTGCTCTCGCAAGCCAGGCACTTCGTGTTCAGCTACGAAGGCTGGCTCTCAACTTAACGAAGGTCCATCAAGCTATACATTCTGAGCGAATTACAAACACAGAGGGAGAGACAGAGAGAGAGAGAGAGAGCGAGCAAGTGACGAGAGAGATAAAGGCCAAAGCAAATGCGGGCAATTTATTTTAAAATTAGCAGAAGTACCAGATGTGTGGAAATTCTGTTAAAAGTTACATCCGGCAAGCAACTATTATTTTCATGTATCTAATATTTTGATATTAAGTAAGAGCTCTTTGACAATTTTTATTTTTTAATTTAAAACATAAAAACAACAGTATGCAAAAACAATAACATAAGGTATAACTGCTATTCATTTTTCACTGAACATGTGAGCTAGCCAGATTATCCTAAAAAATATCGGGAAATTTTCTGACCCAAAGTTAAAAGCTTTATGTTTTCAAAAGCAACCGAATTCTTTAAAAAACATTGATTATTGGCTACATAATTTATAGTAAATCATAGTAAGGAGCTAGGAACAACAACATTAAAATATAACGAATCCATTTAATTTAATTTATTTTACTGTTGAAAGAAAACAGTTGCTTGTATATTAATTATTAAGTGGTTGCCTGCGAGTCACTTGATTTAGATATTCCATTTAAGCGCTACATTTTTGATATTTTGATATTTTATGCTGAAAGGAAAATAAATTTCCTTAATTATATAATGCTTGGTTATAGGTGCTTCCATTTAGTGATAAACAGAAGCTTTCCTATCAGTTCTTAGTAAAATTATATATTTAAAAAATAATAATATTGCGCCTCATTTGTAGTCATGGATTTGTCATTCATGGTCATACTCTCATCCATGTGTGGGTATATATTTGTTATCTGATTATATTATGATTATAGCAATTTTTGTATTAAACACTTTTTTGTTTATGAAGAATTTGGACACAAATGCATCTCTTCCCGGTTTGTAAATAGTTACCAAGGTGAACCAAATGTAAACTAATTTTAAGAAAGCATAGAATGAACACAACAAATTACTTTAAATATAAATTGCAAAGCAGTTATTTTATTTGTAATTCTGTGTAATTCTTGTTGAGTCTGGTGCTCTTATTTTATAAATGTTCTCTACTACTACTTATGTGCCAAGTCACTTGCATAAAAGATCGGCTAAAAGTCCACAATATGGGCAATGAAACAAGTATGTATTTGTATTTTAAAATAACAAAAAATTTACTTGCATCCCATTTCACTAGCCTTATGGTGGCTCATAGATCAAGGCCGCTTATTTATATACACACATTATACAGACCATATTTTTCTTTTGCTGCCTTCTTAAGTCTTTAAAAGCTGACTTTGGCGCTAATGTGAATGGCAGGCGCAGCGAAGCGGCAAATGCTTTGGAAATTTTAGAGAAACAACAAGTGGTGCGTCGGTGGCACCACTCATGCATACATACATGCACACATACATATGTTCTTGTGTGGTAGATGTACGTAAATCCGCACATACCTACGCACTTGCTTGACTGCCTACAAACATAAATATTTGCCAGATAAACATCAAGTTGGCGACTGGCGGCTGTTTCGGCTGCTGCTTCTACATACTTATTAAGCAATAAATTTCAATTGAGTTATGAATATGAAGAGAGGGGGCTTTTCTTTGTATGCGAAATGGATGTTGTTGCCGTTTTCAGCTTCCGAATAAGTTTGAAAAGTAGACACGTGTGCCTAAGACGCAGAATATAAATGTAAGCCCAAAAGCATGCAACAATAAATTTAAAAAAATGCCATTGTCCAAAATATTTGCTAATTGTTGCTAAAGATGCAATGGGCCTGTTGAAAAGCGGTTGGAGATGGGTGGTCGGTCCCCGACTTAGGTATAACAGCTACTTTATAATTTTCTAAGAAAATACACAAAACAAAGATAGTAGTCCTGCAATTCAAAATGTAAGCTTCGTCGTGGACCCATTCTATTGAAAATATGTTCAAATAAGTTCAAATAAACTGGTCATTGAACTAAACTACAAAGCTCTTTCATGGACTAATTAAAATTAGATAATTGTTGAAATTGCTGCTGGTTTCATAAACAAAGCGATAGACAAGATAATAAGATCGTAAGCTACATTAAGTATTTACAAGTAAACATTTACAAGTAAACAATATTTGAGGAAACATAACTTGCCAGACTGGCAATCAAATTTTCACCCATCGGGTTGGATATTTTCCTTTCGCTTTTTCTGTACCTTACTTTATCTAATTACCTCTTAAGTATAACTGAGTTTTCTCCTCTACTTACTATTTTTTCAGTTTGTTAGGTATATAATTTTTCTGAATACATACCACATACAATCCATCTGAATAGCTGGCCAAATGGCAAATAAAATTCCCGCAACGTGTCAGAAGCAATTTTAGACATTATTGTACATTTATCTGAAGCTTTCTTATCCTTCAAGTCGAAATTATAGCGTAATATTATTCTATATCCATATTGAAAAATATTATGTTATAATATAATGTAAAAAATCTTTATTGTAATATGTATGTAAAGCAGAAATTGTTGATTTTTTAAAATGAAAAAATAAAATAAAAATAAATATTCAATGGACTGCAATTTCTGACTGAACAAACGTGGTAGTTGAATATACTTTATAATTCTGGACAGGATTGAATGTGAGATAAAACATATAAACGGTTATTAAAATATCGAAACGTGGCCAAAAATTAATAAAGGTTTGAAATAGTGATAGTGGTGACAATCTTTTTATTGATATACTATTTTTAGTTAGTTCGTTTGTTACTTAGTTAAAGTCATGATGTTATCTTTTTTAAAAAGTTGCGTTTTATTTTATGCTCAAACTATCCTTGTTTGTATTCACTTATAAATTGTATTTGAATTTCTATGTCGGCAATAAAACAATATCAATAATAATATGTCCGATAAGAAAACTTATTTGTCGAGTATTTTATGCCAAAGCTGTTTCAAAATTCTATTTAACATTAAAATGGGGAGGCTCATTCCTTCAACGAAATGCGTTACCTATTGCTTACATTGTTCTTGATTACACACTTTTTCTAGAATCCTATTTGTATGCTCTTAAAAGAGTTGTAAGGCAATGTGGCATGGATGTGTGTATGTATAAATGTATATATGTATTCACTTATGAATTATGTTTTCATTTGTATGCAGGCAGCTTCAACTTTGCGGTTGCGAACGCTTCTCGTAATTACATTAAGCATATTAAAGCTTGTTGTGCTTATCGTGGGGCAAGCTTTTGTTTCTGTGTCTGTGTGTATGTGCGTGTGCGTGTGGCACTTTACTGTTAAGCCGCGCGGAAACGAACTAACAACGTGTCATAAAAGATTTTCAGCGTTTTAACTGCGATGTTTATGAAGCGTCTTTGTGTCCTGAAATGAGAGCAAGTCAAGAGAGGCGAGCAGGCAGGCAGGCAGGAAGGCTGGCGTAGTCAGTCAGGCAGACAGCCAACAACGTGCACTTACACACTCAAATGTGGTTGTGTGTGTATGTGTGCGTGTTCGTGCGCTGGCATTGTTTTAACAGCGTGCCTCATAATGCTGCGTGTTAACGCTAAATGCATAATTTGTAATTAATGGCAATTAATTGGTCTACACTGGCTATGTGTGCGCTTGTGTTTGAACACGTAAATGTATTTTGTGGCAAAAACAATTTAGACAAGCTGCAGAGTATATTGTTTTATTCCATAGCCTTTTGTGGTGCGCAATTGGGCTTTAAAAGTGAATTTAAAAAATGGGATTATATAAAAAAATAACTATTCATTGACTCTTCTAAAAGATAAAGTAAAATAAATGTTCTATTCTTATATATTATTCAGATACAAAATAAGGTCCATAAACTTGGGATTTAAAAAGGAAACAACCATTTATTAAACTACCAATTATAACAAGATTTTTGAACTGTTTCGAATACAAAATTCTTTAAAACAAAAATGTCTTCAATATGCTGGAGAAAACCAGCAATACTTTGCCACAAATATTAAAAAGTAATGCCTCACCATTGTGACAATTTCAAAGTCCTAACAAAAGCAATGCATCATTTTTATGTCGAAAACTTTCCAACTGCCTAGCGAGGCATTCAGCTTCAGTTCACTGGGACACACACACGCACATACAATCGCACCGAGCACAACACCCCAAAGGATA